TCCACCGAAGGCCCCAGTGGCAGGAGTCGCATGGCGGCTGCCCCTTCGCTTCGGCACGCCCAGCACACGGCTCGTGGCCCCATAAGAAGCTCCATCGAAGGCCCCACCCCAGTGGCAGGAGTCGCATGAGTGTCCTCGTCCAGCTTGGCACGCCCATCGCACGGTCCGTGGACTCATAGGGAGCTCCACCGAAGGCCCCGGTGGAAGGAGTCGCATGGAGGCCGCCCCCTCGTGCTGGCACACCCCTCACGCGGTTCGTGGCCCAATAGGGAGTTTCCCCCTCCTTCGCCCCACTTGCCTCGCGGTGTTCACACTTGCACATCGTTGGGTCTTTCGCCCGGATAATTTTTGTTTGGAGGGTTTGTTTGAAAAGGATCAGGGGGAAGCAGATGAGGTTGCCAGCCTGCGGCTCACGAGCCCAGCCTTCGGCGGACAAGACGCCCTTTATGGCTACTACGGCCCCTCAGGAGGACCCGACAGAGGAGAAGAAGGAAGGAGGGAGGGTGTGAGCTTGTGCGATTATCATTGTGTGTAACGCGGTATACTTCTGGAGAGGGGCCCTGGATGGCCCTTGCCGCCACAGATGGTTTTTGCTTCGAGAGCTCTGTCAGAACGCGCTAAGAGAGATGACCGGGAAGGTCTTGGCGCTGTAGCGGGAAAGCCGTGTCTGCCCGCCGAGTGCCGCTTCAGCACGATGGGTGCCCCGTCCTCAGGTCTAGCGGCTCAGTGCGGGGTGCTGGCTCGCCTGTCGCAGGCTGGCCTTGCCATGCGCTGACAGTTCTTACTCCTCGAGGGCTGGCGGTGCCTCCGGCGCCACCTCTGGCGCAGCGTTCGACGCGCAAAGCTTGGAGGGTCCAGCGACGACCCAAGATATCCGCACGGAACTCCGAAAGCGTATGTTCATGTCGCTTCTTCTGGTCCTCTCGCCGGGGGCGCAAGACTGCCAGGACTGGTGATGGCCACGCGCATCGAGGGAGGGGCTGTGTGGTATGAGACTAATGGGTGAATAGTGTAAGGATGATGATGGTGGAAATGATGAGGATGATGACGACGATGATGATGATGGAGATGATGCTGTGGATGCTGATGATGATGCTGATGGTGATGATGATGATGATGATGTTGATGATGATGCTGAGGCTGCTATTGCTGCTGCTGCTAACTATGATGGTGATGATGATGATGATGATGATGATGATGATGATGATGATGATGATGATGATGATGATGCTGATGCTGATGCTGATGCTGATGCTGATGCTGATGCTGATGCTGATGATGTTGGTGATGCTGATGATGCTGATGCTGATGATGCTGGTGATGATGATGATGATGATGATGATGATGATGATGATGATGATGATGATGATGATGATGATGATGGTGGTGGTGGTGGTGGTGGTGGTGACGAGGATGGCGATGACACTAATGATTTACCTTCTGGGAGATGTCGAAGGACAAACACATTCAACGTGGGCAGAGGTGGGGAACCGACAACGCTGGTGTGCAGTACCAGCGTGGATCTCGCAGCGCAGTGCGGCGAGTGCTGCTACACCCCGCCGCGTGCCGCAGCACCCGCGAGTGAGATAGGAGCGACTTGTCCCAGGCACTACAGGCCCAGAGGAACCGACACGATGATGGCCCATGCACATGTGGGAACTGCCACGATGGAACCACCGCCTGAAAAAGCCGCCGTTCCTCCGCTGTTCGACCGCCTTCTGGTCGTCGCACAGTTTTTCCATGATCGCTTTGCGCTCCGCCAGCGTTGGAGCTGCCGCGCGTGGGAGTCGCCCGCGTAGGGGCCGCCGCGCGGAAGCCGCTGCAGTAGGAACCGCCCCTGGGTGCGTAGGAGCCGCCTGCGCGGAAGCCGCCGCGCGCAGGAACCGCGTACGCAGGAACCGCCGCCGTGGGAGTCCCCTCCGCGGGAGCCGCATTGGAAGCCGCCGTGGGGGCTGCCGTGGTAGCCGCCGCCGCGGGAACCGCCGTGGGAGCTGCCGCCCGGGGGCCGCCTCCGCGGGAGCTGCCGCCGCGGGGGCCGCCGCGGGAACCGCCGCGGTGAAGGGGCCCGCCTCCGTGGGAGCCGCCGCCGTGGGAGCTGCCGTCGTGGGAACCGCTTCCGTGTGGAAGTCGACGCAGGAAGGATCCGAATCCGCGGAATCGTCCGCCACGGTAGCCGCGGTGGTAGGTGGTGGGGCCCGCCTCCGTGGTAGCCGCCACCATGGAAACCGCCGCTGGTAGCCGCCGCCGCGGTACCAACCACGAGGAGTCGCCGTCGTGGGAGCCGCCGCTGTGGGAGCCATGAAAACCGCTACAATGGGAGCCACCTCCGTGGAAGCCGCCGTGGGGACCGCCGCCGTGGGAACCGCCTCCGTGAGAGCCGCCGCCGCGGGAGCCGCCTTAGTGGGAGCGGACGGCATGGAAACCGCCTCCGAGGGAGCCGCCGACGTGGGAACCGCCTCCGTGGCAGCCGCCGCCGAGGGAACCGCACCCGTGGGAGCCGCTACCGTGGGAGCCGCCGCCTGTAGTGGGCCGCCCAGTGCCGCGAGTAGGGGCCGCCACGAGCTGGGCCAAAGTTGAAATCCACATTTCTGCCGAAGGGGAAAAGGACGCAGTGGCACCAGATGGATAGGCCGAGCCCATAGAATGCCTGGCGCCGATGCCGCATGCGTGCGAAGGGCACCTGCGAGGGGGCGCAGGTGGACGTGAACGTGAGCGTGAACGTGGTTCTCTGCACCGACGTTGCCAGACAACTTGGTCAGGCGCAGGAGCAACAGGATCTATTTTTGTGGATGTCGAAAGACTAAACAAATTCTAAGTGGGCACAGGCGGGGACTCGACCACGCTGTTGTGCCGCACCAGCGCGGCGTGGACCTCGCAGCGTACTGCGGCGAGTGTTGCTGCACCCCGCCGCGTGCCGCAGCACCCGCGGGTGAGACAAGAGCGACCTGTCCCAGGCATTGCACACCAGGATGATCCGAAGCGATGATGAAGATGCTGATGGTGATAAGGATGATGCGGATGACGATGGCGATGGTGTTAATGAGGAAGATCAGGATGATGTTGACGACGATGTATGCCGTATCCCGCCTTTCTCAGAGTGTGAAGATCGACGCTCGTCCTTACCACCAGGGCATTACGAGTCGACGCCCGACGTAAGTCGCGCGTCGACTCCCCGCATGAGCGGCGTAATGCATATTTTGCCTGGCGAATGGATCAGCCCTTTTCTTTGGGTGTAGCACAGGGGGCGTCCTTCTCTTGAAATACGGTGTGCCAATGGGCAATGCGGATAGGGGGCTGGGGGGCATGACCCGCGCGATAGCAACACATCCGGCGAAACCCCCACGCGACGGCGCCCACTGAGGTCGTAGGGTGGTCGTATCGGGACTCACCTGCACGTTCGTCTCCTCAATGTCCCCTCCCGTCAGCCCGCGCGGTTCCCAGCCTGTGACCACCCATCCCCGCAGGCAGAGGAGCGCAAGCATTCAGGCGCGCGGGGGAATAAGACGGACAAGCCGTCCTCGACTGCAACGTCCACGACTTCCCAGAAGGCCGGGAGAGGGAAAGTATCCACCACCATCCGGCGCGCCGAAGTGGGGGGATGATTTGGGTTGTGTGGAGTTCATGGTTGGGGCCATCAAATGTCCCAGATCTCATGGCCCTGTCTTTACCGTTTGCTCTCTCAGAGATCCCCGATGGGTCCCAGTTCACTGGTATATTTTTTTCCGTTGTCGAGTCGATTGTGTTGGAGTGTTCCTTTTTCTCAGGAGGAGCAGCACCGCTACAACACGACAACGGACGCGACGAAGCATGCGACGGGCAAGCCGTCCTCCACAACGGCGGCGCATTCCCAGGAGGGGCCTAGCAGTCACGGAGAAGAGAGAAGAAGGGAGAGGAGGTTTCTGTTTCCTCCTCACTTCTCGTTTTCCTTCTCCTCCTTTCGTTTCCAGCTCTTGGCATTCTTCTTCTCATGTAATTTCCCCGTTCTTCCGCATTTATTTTCTTTCGTTCTCCTCCATCCCCCTTCCTCTTCCACATCTCCTCCTTCGTATGATCTGCCTTCATTCCGCCGTTCCCTTCTCACCATCCTTCCTCCTCATCATCGTTCCTCGTCTTTCCTCCTCATCCTCCTCCCCTTCCTCCGCCCGCTATCCGTTGTTCCTTCCTCCGCCTCCTCCTCATTCCTGCTTCTCCTGATTTTTGTCGCACTCGTTTCCTTGCTCAGATTGTTCTTTCCCTTCCTCCTCTGATCTCCTCGTCCTCGTGCTCTTCTTCTTCTTCCTCCTCCTCCTCCTTTTCCTCCTTCTCCTCATCCTCCTCGCACGTTGTTGATGGCGTCGTGGCTCTCGCTGATATGCGCACCATTGAGTTGCCGACTGCAGAGTCCGACGGGGGCCCCCGAAATAATTTGTGCCTCTCCCCCACCATACGTCGGGGCCCCAGAGGTCTGGAGCCTTTCCCTGGGACGCGCTTTTCGTCTGAGTCGTTCTGTTGCTGAGGCCCGCGACACGCTTTTCTGCGACCGGAAACGCCTAAAGATCATGATCGGTGGTGTGTCTTGGGCATCCATTGGTCCACCCTACTCATTCTCGTCCTCCTCATTTCCTCGCCCGCGTCGGGAACTTCGACGGCCTCGACGAGGGGTACGGCCAGACCAGGAGCACCCCGCCACTTCCGCAGTAGGACGGTCGGATCGGGACTCACCTGCACGTTCGTCTCCTCAATGTTTCCTCCCGTCAGCCCGCGCGGCTCCCAGCCTGCGACCGCCCATCCCCGCAGGCAGAGGAGCGCAAGCATTCAGGCGCGCGGGGGAATGAGACGGACAAGCCGTCCTCGACTGCAACGTCCACGACTTCCCAGAAGGCCGGGAGAGGGAAAGTGGGCGCCGAAGCGGGGGGGAGGACTCGGGGTGCATTTCCTTCATGGCCGGGGCCATTACGGCCCTCCCTTCTCTTTCTTCTTCTCTCCATGCGCCCACTGCCACCCACAGGGGCGGCCGTACGCCGCCTCAGGGAGGCGCGCCGCCGTTGTCAGGTGGCACCGTGGTTCAACGCTCCCCCGCGTCCTCTCCCTGTTTCGGGAGCCTGCCGTGGGGGTCACGGAGGCTCAGGAGGTTGCAGCGGTCGCCGATCTCCGAGCTTGGCTTGGATTGGCCAGAGCCTCCTGCCTCTTTCTGTTCTGCCGGTTATAGTTTCTGCTATTTTCCGGAAGAAGAGTCTGTGTTGTCCACGGAGCACCGGATCATTCCCTAAGTCCTCGTTCGACGACCACTCCTACGCCTTGTCCTGCTCGTGCTCCCCCTCCTCCACCTGGATCCCGCATCCCGCACGAGCTTCCTTTTCACGCTTCGATCGCCCACGAGCATTTCACGCACTTTTCATAGACCCGACGAAAGTTTCAAGTTTGGGGTAATTCAGTTCTGTCGTCGATCCCCTACTCGAAATATGAGCCTGCGGGCTTCTGGGGTCCGAAGCGGTGGTTTTTAGGACTGGGCGGTCGCGATAATTCTTGCATGCAGCCGATTTCGACCCAGACGCCCCGAGCCCACATGGGAAACCGGCCGCTTACATGCGTCTGTCCCGCCGCTCTTTTCGTCGCCCTTTCCCCCATTTACCTCGCCATGGAAGAAGCGGCTGCCGAGGGGAAGGGGTCCTGGAGTTTCCGCAATGCTCCGCAATATTCAGGCACCCTGGGGCCCTCACGGGCCGCGGGACTGACAGAAACTACCCAGGATAAACACATAGCCAGCCATTTGGTTCATGTGGAAAGGCCCCAGGGTCTTGGAGGACCCGATTCCTCGGGATCCCTTCCGTCCCATGCGATTCACCCAGCGGAGGCCTGGCAGGGCGCTCTGGAAAGGGCTTCGTCTTCAAGGGATCGGGAGGTTGATTTCTCGCCTTCAGCGGAAAGTGGCGGAAAGCCTTCAGAGGAAAAGCAAAGGCGGTTCCGCAGCGGACCCGCGCCACCCTGATCGCCGCTCTCCCTTCGCCCTCCCTGTCGGAAGCTTGCTTCAGGCAGGTCCGATACTAGGACAAATATTAGTCGTTCCAGATCGCTGAGGCATGCTTTCAGGACGGTTCAGAAAGCCCTGGGAAGGCTGATACGTCCTCGAGAACTCAGAGATTCCCGACGGACATCAGCCCAATGGCATACTGTTGTAAGCGTTGTCTTATTGGTTGTGCTGGAGCGCTTCTCTCTTTCCAGGACGAGCACCACCGCCCCGACACGACATCGAAGGCGACGAAGCACGCGACGGGCAAGCCGTCCTCCACAGCGGCGGCACACTCCCAGGAGGGGCCTGGCAGTCAAGGGGACGGGGAGGAGCAGGGAGAGAAGGGCTCTTCTTCGTTCTCTTCCATCCGTTTTCCAAATGAATGACCCCCCCCTGCCGCATCCCCACAGAGGTCAGTAGGGCGGCCCGGGCGTTTCGCTTTAGATTTGCTCACCATTTGTTGCCCCGAGGGTTCACATTCTACAGCAGCTTCTAGGATGGAGGGCGGGTGGTTTTCAAACTGTGGCTCTCGCCTGATCGCCGCGCAAATTCGTTTGAACATCTGGTTGCCGTTTCAAGGGTGAGGGTGGCTCCTGTACAAAATGTGGCTCTCGTTTTAGCGCCGCGCGCATGCGCCTTACAGGCTTGCAACAGGTTCAAGGATCCGTAGGGCTGAAGTCTCAGAACGGCGCTCAGGCACGGTGTAGGACTGTCAGGTCGCAGCAGGCACGTTGATTTGCGTGTTCTAGTTCCAGGAGTGTTGTTTTGGCGCGATGATTGACGGGACGCAGCAGTCACGTCCATTCGCGGCGTTGATGTCCCAGGAATGGCGTTTGGGCGCGATGTTTTTTTTTCTGGCTGCGTCTTTGAGTGGGGCATTTCCTGCAATGAGATATAATATTGTGGTAACGTATCAAGAGTGAACTTTGAGGGAGGGTTCATTGCAGCATCGATGATGCGTTTTGGGCTTGCCCAGGTTATTATGCATTATCCGTTTCGTGCGTCCTCTTTCCCTGCTTCTCCTTTCTTCTTCCTCATTCCCCTTCTCTTCCTCGTTGTTCCCCCCATCCTGCTTCCTCGTTCCTCCTCCTCCTCCGCTTTCTCATCCCACTATCCCCTTCTCCCTCCTGTTCCTCAGTGTTCCTCTTTATGCTAGCTTTGTGTCCTCCGTCTTTCCATACATGTTGCTCATATTCGTCTTCTCCTTCCGTCTCGTATTTTCTCTTCATCGTGCGTTGCTGATAGGGGCGTGGCATTCGTTGATACTTGAATTTTCCAATTGCTGACTGATGAGTCCGACGGTGACCCGCAGGCTTACTCTGAGTACGCTTGCCGCTGTGCTTCGGTCCCCACTTCTCACCCTGTTTGGAATACCCCTTCACGTTCGCCTCCTAGAGGCGCTGGGCGCATACCTTGACGTTGTCATGAGAACAGAGTGGGTAATTATAGCAATTGGTTCATCGCACTTGCGCAGCATTTTCAGCATGAACACAATATGACATCTATGCTCATCGATGCATATTTGAGGCGCGGCTGTTGTTAAGGTTCCCCTGTCCGGGGTAGGCTTGATTTAATGCGGGTATTTCGGTCAGTGTTGGACTGTGAGTCGTGTATTTCAGGTTTGAGCATTGGTGGCCCTCTGGACTCACCCTTGCTCCTCCTCCTCCTCCTCGTTCTCCTCCTCCTCCTCCTCCTCCTCCTCCGCCTCCCCTTCCTCTTCTTCCTCCTCCTCCTCCTCCTCCTCGTCCTCCTCCTCCTCCTCCTTATCCTCCTCCTCTTCCTTTCGTAGCCATTGTGGCGCAAGTCGGGCTTTCTTTTGGTTTGACTCCAGCAAGCCTGCTCTCTCGCGTGTTCCTTCATTTTGCACGACTTCGCCTTCGCCCGCGGTGGACGAGGCTTTCGGATTGGTATCTACACTGGCTGGCAAATCTCTGCGGCTCTTCACCACTGTTTCGGGCCAGCACCGTTCGGGCTTTCATGTTGCTGTTCATTCGCACAGTCGGGTCCTCTCGTAACCGACGAAGCGTAGGGTGCGCGATCTCGCTGCAGTACTCCAGTTTTTGCGGCACTACACAGACCCATGGGCTGACGAACTTGTGGACACATTGCAGTGGGAACCCAGTGAGGCGGTCCACAAGAACGCGGATGTCATTATGAATGCTCGTTTACATTAACGCCTCTATAATTTGCCAGCTTTGTACTGAGAGCTCGGGGGGACCTTCAAAGGGGGGCAGGCGGAGCTGGAGCGACAACCCTACAGGATAGCAAGAGCGACGAGCACACTCAACCGCGGCACCAGAACATCCGACGCAGCAGCAGGTGCGTCCAGGAGAGTGCCGCGAGCGCGCCTAGAGGGGGAGGTCCCCCCTGCGAGGTGTTAGAAGGCGTGGCCGAGCCACCTTGGGCCCAGACCTTGAGCGGTGCCTGACCTGGCCTCCAGGCCAAAACGGGCCCGCAAGAAACTCGGACACGCATCAGTCCCAAGGGTGACAGCCCCAGGGTGGGAGTGGCGGGGCCGAAAGTGCAGCCATATATAACAGTAAGAGGGTGACGATTTCGGCGGCTAGAAACATTGACGATGCTACTGTAAAAGTGTGTTTTGGAAACGCGTATTTACATGAACGCCTCTATAATTAGCCAGCTTTGTATTGAGAGCTCGGGGGGACCTTCAAAGGGGGGCAGGCGGAGCTGGAGCGACAACCCTGCAGGATAGCAAGAGCGACGAGCACACTCAACCGCGGCACCAAAACATCCGACGCAGCAGCAGGTGCGTCCAGGAGAGTGCCGCGAGCGCGCCTAGAGGGGGAGGTCCCCCCGCGAGGTGTTAGAAGGCGTGGCCGAGCCACCTTGGGCCCAGACCTTGAGCGGTGCCTGACCTGGCCTCTAGGCCAGAACGGGCCCGCAAGAAACTCGGAAACGCATCAGTCCCAGCCCCAACAGGTCGAGACTGGCATACTTGCCTAAACACCAGCCTTGCAACAAGATGAGGGAGGGAGGGATTGGGTTACTCATCTATGTTGTGCTCCAGCCCTCTTGTGGATGTAGAACCCCGGTCTGGTTGTTGTTCTGATCTTCACTTAAAGGACAACGGGTGAGGACAGGGGGCACGTCAACCTGCCTCCAGGCACGCACCGGCCATATCTAAAGATAGAGCTGATAGTAAAATCCACACACACACACACGAGAGTGCTGAGCTCCAGCCCGCCAAAAGGGCTGGGCGACACGCACGCACGCACATCAATGGGGCAGAACAGTCAAGCCCAGCAATCATGGTTCTCGTGCGGCGCTCGACTTGCGCCTGTGTCGGGTGCGAGAGGCAGTGCTTGGGCGGCCTGTCGTCAGCGCCCGTCCTCCCTCGAAATTCGGGAGCTCGACCTCCTGGCCGCGCGCCCGCTCCAGCTCCTCCAGCACATGCTTCGCTAGTGGAGTCTGGGCGGCGGGCGACTCCATGATGAAAGGAATCTACGCCTCGGCAGGCGCCGCCAAAAAAGCCTACGCCTGCCCGTGCCTGCTCGTCCGTCATCTTGCCCAGCTGGTTGATCAGCATGTGGGTCTTCGTGTAGCGCGCCAGCGCTGCTGTCGTCTGCCACCTGCCCTTTCGGCGGGCGGCCTCCAAGCAGCCGCCTCCTGCCACGAAGCTGGCAGCCCCCGAGTGCCGCATGGCACGCGGGGGGCCCATGCCAGCCAGCCCCTCGTCGTCCAGCGCCTTGTGCCACTCAAGCCTGAACTTGTCCTACGAGACGGGGAAGACGAGGTCCCTGCGGTCGCAGCCCCGCAGTAGGGCACTCACCGCGGCCGCGGTCACCGGCCATGAGATCACTACGCCCTGGTTCGCGCCCGTCTTGACCTTCTCTCCTCTCTCGCGCCTGCCCAGGGTGAAGGCCGGCTGGCCCCCAGGCCCCTCGGACACGTCCTCAGCCCTGAGTTGGCCCCAGTCCTGCTCCCTGAGCCATCCGCCCAGCTGCGCGAGCACCGCCGCGCCCTCGATCAAGCGACCCGTGCGGAACATCCTGCCGATGACCAGGCCGACCGCCTCCATGGGGGCAGGAGCGCCTTCGCCCAGCTGCCCCAGCTTCTGCCGCGACTTCAGTGCCCTGGCCGACGTCGGAAGCCGGCCCCGGTGGTCCTGAAAGACGTGCATGAAACCGTTGAACAGCATGTTGGCCCGCCCACAGCCCAGCTGCCGAAGGTAGCACATGTCGGAGATGTAGTCCGCCAGCGCCTGGCCCCTCGCCTCGAAGGTGTCGAAGTCCAGCTGGTTCCCCTCGACGTCCACCAGGAACTCGCGCGCCGCTTTCTGGTAGACCAGGTTGGTCGCGTCATCCACGGCATGGATGACCAGGCGGTTCGTGTAGAGCAGCTTGTCACGCTGCGCCTCGTCCCAGGCCCGCGCTCCTTTCTTGACCAACGGCGGCGGCGCACTCGTCCCTTCTGATATGGTTGAGCGCGGGCTCAGGCTGCCTTGGTCACCCGCGGCTCCCCCTCGCGCCACCAGCATCCCGAAGGCTACAAATGTGCCGACCCAGCGGCGATGCCTTGGTGAGCCTGCCGCTGATGCAAGAGCGGCTGGAGTTGCTGTGGGACGCCTCGGGGCACGTGTAGCCCAACCGTCTCCTCCGCCGCACCGATGGGCAGCCCCCTCGAGGGCCCGTCCGCCAGGTTGAGCTCCGACGAGACCCATCGGTAGTAGCCTCTGATCCTGCAGACCATCTGGATGATGCCCGCCATGCGGCAGAGGTGCAGCACGTCCCTCGCCGATGAGCGGCCCTTCTGCAGCGCGCCCAACGACGCCCGCGAATCCGTGAAAATCAAAGCCCTGTGGCCCCAGGCCTGAGATGTCCTGCTCAGGTGCCTCAGGGTGGCCATCGCCGCCCGTAGCTCCCAGATGTCGTTGTGCTCCTGGTGCCCCCACTTCCCGCAGAACAACACGTGCCAGCGGTGCTGTAACCAAAAGGCCTTCAGCGGGATGGTGGTACCTGCCGCCTTGGCGATCTGTGGGCGACCTCCTCTCAGCCTCAGCCTTGCTCCTGATGGTATCGTCTCCCAGGAAGGCTCGAGCTGCCCCGCGATCTCCGCGTAGCATCTGCACAGCTCGAGCGGGCACGCACACGCCAGCTGATTCCACTTGAGCCCACGCGGCGACTTGCCTCTCAGCTCTTGGTGAGGCTTCTGCGTGCGGCTGCAGCAACGAAAGGTGCCAGTGCACCTCCTCGCCAAGCTGGTCATCTCTTCCACACTCGTGACGAAAGCGGCGGGCTTCTTCCAAGCCTCCCCAAACGCGCAGTAGTCCAGCCCCACC